TCCTGTAATAGGTCAGGCACATCTCAAGCCCAGGGCGGGGGCGCGCCGAGTGGCGGGGCCCTCGCCGGAGAGCCCCGCGCGTGCACGCTGGGAGGAAGGCGGCCCACGCCAGCGGCCCGTGGGGGGGGGGTGAGGGGGGGGGGAGGGGGGGCGAGCGCGCAGAGCCACGAGGAGCCAGGGCCCATCTCCTGCCCTCCTCCTCCTCCGCCTCCTCCTCCTCCTCCTCCTCCTCCTCCTCCTCCTCCTCCTCGGCCGCCGCCGCCGCCTCACCACTCCTCCCTCCCTTTTCGTTCCCCAGCCATCCTGTGGTGCTGGGTGCTTGTTTAGGAGGCGGCGCCCCGCGTCCCTCCCTCGCACCTCCGCCCACTTCTCCCGCTCCCCTCTCCACCCCCTCCTTGCTCCTGCTCTCCGCATCAGGGACACCATTCACCCGCTTCGTGGCCCAAAAGGAAGCTCCACCGAATGTCTCAGTGGCACCGTCCGCATGCGTCCCCGCCACCCGTTTCGGCACACCCCTCACACGCTTCGTGGCCCCACGAGGGGGAGCTCCACCGAAACGTCCCAGTGGCACCGTCCGCGTGCGTCCCCGCAACCCATTCCGGCACACCCCTCACACGCTTCGTGGCCCCACGAGGAGCTCCACCGAAGGTCTGGCGCCGTCCGCATGCACCCCCGCCACCCATTTTGCCACACCCCTCACACGCTTCACGGCCCCATAAGGAGCTCCACCGAAGGTCCCAGTGCGCATGCGTCCCCGCCACACATTTCGGCACACCCGTCACGTGTCGTGGCCCCATGGGGACCTCCACCGAAGGTTCCAGCGGCCCCCTCCGCATGCGCCCCCACAACAAATTTCGACACACACACACACACACACCATACGCGTCGTGGCCCCATAGGGAGCTCCACCGAACGTCCCAGCGGCCCGTCCGCATGCGTCCCCGCCACCACCCCTCATCACACACTTCGTGGCCACATGAGGAGCTCCACCGAGGGTCCCGGTGGCACCGTCCGCATGCGTCCCTGGCACCCATTTCGGCACACACACACACACCACACGCGTCGTGGCCCAATAGGGAGCTCCACCGAAGACGACACCCACAACTGCGTTACTCACAGCTGCAGATGGTTGGGCATTTCGCCAGGCTATAACTTCCCTCCCCAACGACACCATTTGGAAAGGCAGGCAAAACTAAAATTCCGCTGCCCCACAGAAGGGCCATCTCCATTACACGGTTCACGGCAACACGTGCGCGAATGACAGACGCAGCGAGACACCTGCAGAGGATGTTGGGGAGAATTCGGCGGTGGACAAACCTCCCTTTAGCAAACAACCCTATAGTGAAAACGGCCTAGGGCCGAAACCGACGGACCTGGACCCGCCGAAATGACGGCCGCGCGACCCTCTCGCGAACCGAAAACGGCCAATTCGCTAGTCGAATTGTCAGGGTAGGAGGTCTATCAACCTCTGAAGAAATGTCTATCGAAGCAGCACTCCTCCCTCCCTCCCTCCCTTCCGACGCGCCTGCACTCTGACCACAACCTCTTCTCGTTTTTTTGTTCTTGATTTTTTCTTGTCCCGTCCCCCCTCACTCCACCACTCCCAGCAACGAACACACTGATGCCGGCCCTTCTACGCGAGCATGCGCCGGGGCATGAGCTGTAAGCCCTGGACTTTCTGAATCGCCACCGCCATGAGAAGCCAACGCCCATTGAAATGGGACTCTGGCCAAAGTCCCTCTCTTTGCCAAATCACCGAGCCAGAGGACGCATCTCTTGACCAGGCTTCCCCGTTTCGCGGACTGGCCCCGCACCCCCTCCCACGACATCCTGCGCAGTGACCCTTCCACAACGTGGCCCGCTTTCCCGGGGACTGGCGCTTCGTCCTGAGCTGAGTCGCCCTTTGAATGTCCTGGGCCCCGACCAGGGCCCCTGGAGGCAGAAAATGTCCGACAACCTTGCGTCGCGAGTTTCGTCGGCACGACGCGAGAAGACGAAGCGCGGGCCCGAGCAGCACGTGTTGAAAGCGTGACCACTCCAGCGTGACGGCAGCTGCCCCCAGGAAGAGACTCGGCGCCTCGAATTCCTCACACGAAAATTCCTGGAGAGAATGTCCGACGACCTTCCGTCGCGAGTTTCGTCGGCACGACGCGAGAGGGCCATGGGGCCCCGCGGGCGGCGGCGGACGGCCGCGGCGCGGGCGCGCGTCCCACACGGTGCGGTCCGACACGGTCACCACGTCGGGCTCCGCCGCGATCATCGCGGGGGCCACAGCGTGGGCCGCGCCGGCCACGCGGGCGCCGCGCGTGGGCCGGCCGGAGCCGCGCCAAGAGGCGGCTGCGGCGGCGGCGGCGGCGGCGTCGGCGTCGTCGTCGTCGTCGTCGTCGTCGTCGTCGTCGTCGTCGTCGTCGTCGTCGTCGTCGTCGGCGGCGGCGGCGGCGGCGGCGGCGGCGGCGGCGGCGGCGGCGGCGGCGGCGTCGTCGTCGTCGTCGTCGTGGTCGTCGTCGTCGTCGTCGTCGTCGTCGTCGTCCTCGTCGTCGTCGTCAAGGCCATGACGACGACGGGATGAAGGCAAACTGGGATCGAAGCTGAATCCAAAACCTCTGAGACCTGGCGGGCCTGGAAGCTGCATCGGGCGCCGCGGCCGTTCCAGAGCGTCTCGGGAGGCCCCGAGGGCGTTCCAATCTGGGGCGACTGCCTCCTGCACGGCGGAGCCGACCGGCAGGCGGTGGAAGCGCTGCAGCGGCGGACGCGGCAGGGCCTGGGGGGCACCGGAGCGAAGCGAAAAAACGCCGAGCACGGCAACACTGCGACGCCTGGCTCCCTGGGCACCCAGGCGTCCGATGTCTCCTTCTCTTGCTCAACCCTGGGGCCCCCGAAGTCCCGAACCCGCTCCCCGGGCCCCAGGGCCTGCTTTCCACCCTGAGCCGCCCTCTTCCAGCCCCGGGGCCCAGGTGTTAGGTCGGGCATGTCCTCCTACAGGCGGATCTTGGAGGGCACTCCAAAAAAATCCAGAAAATAGTCCCAAGGATATGTTCTGACTGCTCCTCGTGTAGACGGACACGCCCGACGTAGGCCCACGGAGGGGCCCCTGGGGGGTCGAACACGGCACAAAACCCTCCGCCACAGCGTTGTCAAGACGAGGAGGAGAAGAAGGAGGAAGAGGAAAAGGAGGAGGAGGAGAAGGAGGCCAGGAGAGGGAGGAGGAGGAGGAGGAGGAGGAGGAGGAGGAGGAGGAGGAGGAGGAGGAGAAGGAGGAGGAGGAGGAGGAGGAGGAGAGGGAGGAGGAGGAGGAGGAAGAAGAGGAGGAGGAGGAAGAAGAGGAGGAGGAAAGGGAGGACGATGGATATCTGCCTCTCGGGCCGTGGCTCTGGGGCCTCCGGCGGCCGACGGGGAGGGCTCGGGCACCCCTGGAGCGCTCCCGGCAGGGCGCAGCTGCCGGCCAGGCATCCCGAGGCGAGACAACGCAGGGAAACTCACGACGACCTCCGAAAGCTCACGAGAACTGACCCATCGGCCGAGGGAAGCGGGAAGAAACCTGGAGGAGGAGGAGGAGTGAAAGTGGATCGGAATGAGAAGGAAGACATCAGTTTATCAGAGAGAGGCACCATCGACTACATGCCACGATCCGTGCTTGGCCCTGGCAGGGCGCGCAAAGCCTCAAAGGCTTTGGGAAACCCAAAGAGACAGGAGGAGAAGAGGAAAGAGACATCAGGAGGAGGAGGAGGAGGAGAAGAGGGAGGAGGAGAGGGAGGAGGAGAGGGAGGAGGAGGAGGAGGAGGAGGAGGAGGAGGAGGCGCAGCTGCAAGCCGGACATCCAGAGGCGAGAAAACGCACGACAGCGTAAGACGACCTCCGAAAGCTCACGAAAAAACCTGGCCGAAGGAGGCTTCGCAAACCTGGCCAGAGAAAGCTCAGGAGAAAACTGGCCGAGGTGGGAAGGGAGCTGGAGCAGGAAGGCCTTGGAGGTGCTCATATTGGAGCTCCGCCCGCCCCCTGAAGACGAGGGGAGGGCCCTTGAAGTGGGGTCAAGTCTGGCACGTCCCCCTATAGGGGGATTTTGGGCGAAAAATCAAACATACCCAAAAAGTACCCAAAAAATGCTCAAACATTGTCAGAAAACAGTCCCCCGACTATCTTTTTACTTATAAAAGGTTCGTCCTGTAGAGGGACACGCCCGACCTAAAAGTAGGGGGCGCCTCAGTATACTGGAATCTGGGGATCCCAAAAACATGCCCGCTTTCAACGACCGATGGGTGCACGAGCCTCCAGCAGAACTAGAAGCCTCCTAGCTGGGGTCCGAGCAGATGGGATCGGAGGATCGCGCCGCATCGGCGATGTGTCGGCGATTGATCGCCGAGGCATCGGCGATGCATCGCCGCCGTCGGCGTGGAGAAGATCGGGTTCCATATCGAGCCGCATCGGCGATGCGTCGGCGGTGCATCGGGCGATGCGCCGCGATCCCCCGACCCCATCCACTCGGACCCCATCTGGAAGGCCTAGAAAAACTACTCGGGAGAGGTCGAGGTTTCTTGCCATAGGGGGCCCCAGGGGCGTGACCGTGCCCTGCGACGACGGCCTTCCGCCTTTCACGACTCGTCGGTCCCTGGTGTTATGTCGGGCGTGTCCCCCTACAGGGGGATTCTCGATGAAACATAAAAGATGCCCCAAAAATGCCCCAAAAGGGTCGAAAAATGCTCCAAAAATAGTCCCCAGACTATCTTTGGACTATTGTTGGGGGTATTTCTTATTCTGTTAACCGAAAATCCCCCTTGTAGGGGGACAGGCCCGACATAACCCAGGAAGCATTTAAGAACCCCCCCGGCGATATCGTAGCACCGCATTTTTTGTTCGAAATTCCGAGGGGCCGAAATAACCGAACGATAGCTGTAGCACCCAGACACAAGGAGGGCTCCTGGTGCCAGGTAACGCTTCCAGGGTGCGGAAGGGTTATCGATTTGCTGGAGGGGAAAGGGGGGGTTCTTAAATGCTTCCTGGGGTTAGGGGGACAGGCCCGACATAACCCTGGTGTCGATGGGAACGCGCGCGAGCAAGCGCGCGGGCTGGGAGCCCGCCGCGCCCACGGCGGGCCCGGCCTTCAGCTTGGCGGCCTCCTGCCTCGAGCACGCGGGGGGGGGGGGCAGGGGCCCCGAAGCCCGCCCGCGACACGCGGCGCGAGAAGGGAGAGCGCGTCGTCCTCCACCTCCCCCCCCCTCCTCCCCCTCCCTCCTCCTCTCCTCCTCCACCTCCCCCTCCTCCTCCTCCTCCCCCTCCTCCTCCCCCTCCTCCTCCTCCTCCTCCTCCTCCTCCTCCTCCTCCTCCTCCTCCTCCTCCTCGTCCTCATGCTCCCTCGCCGCGACACTTCCGGGACGCTACATGGACGCTATCGGACGCCATCGGGGCGCTCTCCGGGCGCCGCGGACGCCGCGGGAACGCCATCGGGCTCTCCGGACGCCAGAAGCAGGAGAAGGCCAGAGTTGAATCGCACGACAGCTTCCCATGGCCTGCAGATCTGAGGACCCCATCCTTCTGCGGCGCCTCTCCGGTCGCATCGATCCGTGGGGGTCCCAGGGCCCGAGATCGGTGCCCGTCGCGACTTCGTCGCAGCTCCCGGCTCCGGGGAACAGGAAGGTCACGTGGCCCCCACCGGCCACGTGACCTCCCTGTGGCTTCCCCCCGTTCTGATCCTTATCCTCCTTGCTGCTTCTGCGCGCTCCTGCTGGAAGAGGCCCCCCGCCTCCTCAGAAGGGCCGCCCCGCCCCCCTCGCGCCAACCCCTCTGTGCGCAGAGTCGGCGGGGGATGGGAGAGAGCTGCGCGTCCGAGCGCGCGCCCTCCCCGTTGCTCAACGGCGGCCTTCGGCCGTCTTCGGCGGCGCACCTCGGGACCTCCTCGCGCCGTGTGAAAAAATATGTGGCGGAAGGCCTTTTGGAAGTCTTCTGCCTCTGGGGGGCCCGTGCTCGGCCCAAAAACTGACTACCTACCAGAGCACCCCAACCCAACCCGAAGGCCCGAATTTCGGGTTGGGGGGGGTAAGGGTTTCATACACCCTGCGAAATGCTTAAGAGATCATGGGTTAAGAAACTCATAGTCTCAGAAGCTGAATCAAAACCTAGAATTTCTGTGAAAATCTTGGGATTCACATAGACAAATTAAGAAGAATCGAGACTCTGGCAGAAAACGTAAGTTTTCTTCAGCATCGCCCTGGGTGTACGTGTTTTTTCGATGTTCCGCGACCCCCCCCCACTGGAAATGGAGGGCAAACCTGGGCCTTCGGGTTGGGTTGGGGGTGGTTTCGTGGGTGGTGACAAGCACCGTCCAACCAAAAAAAAAGAGCGCAGGATGGAAAACGGCCCCGGGAAGAGGTGTCCGGGCCTCCGGGCCACAGGCGTAGAGAAGTACCCCGGCAGAGCACCCTAAGATGGCAGCAGAGGTGAAGAGGCGGGTCGAGGAGCAGGAGGTCAGCTTGTGTGGGGACAGGGGTGGGAGCACGGCCGTGTGCACCGTACAGGGCAGCTTTTAACACATAGGACTTAGAAATACAAAAAAAAAAAAAAAAAAAAAAATGGATGTTTAATACATGATTAATTCATGAATACATGTATGCATGAACCCATCGTTGTTTTTGATACTGTATCCCTGCATTTTTGCTACATGATCCGCACGCGGAGCATGTATTGAAAACGGCACCGTAGCGCATGTTGTACCAAAAATCGTGACCGTCCGGACCCAAAGTGTGTAGCCGGCATTGGAGCAAGAGAACGATTCCGGAAGAACTGCAAGGCAGTCTCAAGCGAAACGGCTACCAGACCGTGCGGCCTCGGCTTCCCCCCCTGTGGGACTCTTGTGTGATTTTTGAGAACCACCACTAGAACACCAGAAAAACTCTCGTGAGGCAAGAGCGCGATTCCTTAATGAATCCCACAAGCCCTCTGGGCGTAGGTAGTTTAACGAGTTTTGCCTTCTCTCCCCCTCATTCTCCCTCCTGAGGGACAGGTTTTATCACTGTTCCCGAATAATTAATATACACCCCCATCCCCCAAGCGACAGGCAGCCAATCAGGAACCATGCTCACACCCCCCACGATCCCTGTCAAGAAAACGCACTCTGCCTCCAAATTCGAAGCATGCGCGGCCAACCCGATGCGGGCCCCCCCCCCACCATCCCTGTTCAAAAACAATTAAACGTACACTTTGGGGCAAAGTCTTGAGTCATGTTCGTGAGACCCGCGAACTCTTTGGATTGTTTGCTGACAGGGACGCCGGGGGTGTCAGCATATTGCCTGCTGCGCACAGGGCTACCATCCCTGACAAAACAAAAAACAAAATGCACCTCGCGAATAAATCTGGATCATGCGCGGCCACCCCGCGATCATTGTCAATTGGTTTTTGATAGGGACGGCGGGGACGGTGGCGTGTGGCCTGGTGTGCGCAGGTCCACCAGACACAATGATGGGCATTGATTTTCGACAAAGATGGTGGGGGCCGACATATCTCCCGATGTGTGCTGTCACGTGCGCAGGTGCACCTGACACACTCTGCACGTGCCCCGAACGTGGCACACCTGGCGCGGCTGGAGTATGCGGCACACCTGGCGCACGCGGAGCACGTGGCGCATCTGTCACGCTCGGGCCCAAGGGGTGCCTGGCGCGCGTGGCGCGCCTGGCACGCGTGGCGCACCTCGCCCCAGCGTCGCGCACATGGGCTCGGTTTTGGTTCCCAGTAGCTGTCCATCCAAAAACGACAGCTGAATATGCTGAGGTTCGGGTGTAACTGATGTGTTGGGAGGGCGGAGGGAGTAAGCTAGACGGCTTACTATCTGATTGATACACACCCCCTACACCAGGCGACCGGCGGCCAACCAGCAACCATGATGACCCCCCCCGGACCATCCCTGTCAAACAACAATACAAAACGTACTCTGCCTCCACATGTGGAGGAACATGCGCGGCCAACCCGATGCGGCCCCGCACCACCATCCCTATTTAGAAAAAATTAAACGTACACTTTGGGGCAAAGTCTTGAGTCATGCTCGTGAGGCCCGCGAGCACTTTGTATTGTTTTGTTGACAGGAACGGCAAGGGTGTCAGCATATTGCCTGCTGCGCACAGGACTACCATCCCGAACAAAGAAAAAGCAATACAACATGTACCTCGCGAATAAATCTGGATCATGCGCGGCCACACCGCGATCATTGTCAAGTGGTGTTTGACAAGGACGGCGGGGGGGGGGCGTATGGCCTACTGTGCGCAGGCCCACCAGACACAATGATGGGCATTGCTTTTCGACAAGGATGGTGGTGGTGGGGGCCGACATGCGCCCGATGTGTGCTGTCACGTGTGCAGGCGCACTTGACACACTCTCCACGTGCCCCGACAGTAGCGCACCTGGCGCGGCTGGAGTATGCGGCACACATGGCGCACGCGGAGCACGTGGCGCATCTGGCGCACCAGGCGTGCCTGGAACGCTCGGGCCCCAGGGCTGCCTGGCGCGCGTGGCGCGCCTGGCACGCGTGGCGCACCTCGCCCCAGCGTCACGCCCATGGGCTCGGATTGGGTTCCCAGTAGCTGTCCATCCCAAGACGACCGCTGAACATGCTGAGGCTCAGGTGTTACTGATGTGTTGGGAGGGCGGGTGGGAGCGAGCTAGACGGCTTGCTATCTGGGTGGTATCTTGACTCCTCCCCCTACCCACTCCCCTGGGCCTGGGAGGGGGGAGGCGGGAAGCTAGAGTTTCAAGGTGAGCCCAACATGGCTCCAAAAGGGCCCTCGGCAACCCAAGACGGCCTCCAAGATGGTTCAAGATAGCCGAAGAAGGCTCAATTGAGCCTCCTACACACCTCCGAGAGGCCCCAAGGCAGCCCCAAGACGGTTCCAAGTGCCCTTCGAGCCTTCCCAGGCACCATCCAAGAGGACAAAATCATTCAAAAACCTAATGAAAATCCATGTTGTGTGCCTTCTCGTTGTTTCGCTTCAGATGGACTTTTGATGCCTCAAGCCTCAAGATGGCCCCAGGAGAGCCTGAAGAGGGGCTCAAGAGTGCCCCAAGACGGCCCTCAGAGCGCCCAAGAGACGCCCAAGAGACGCCCAAGTGCAGCCCCAGGGGGCCGCGAAACGCCATTTTTGAGTCACCGAGGGGGCGGGGTCCTGAAGTGACTACCCCGCTCTTTTCGAGCCATGAGGGCCAAGAAGCCCCCCAGACCCATCCAATGAGCCCCAAAGAGGGCCCCGAGACCCCCAAAACGAGCCCCAAGACGGCCCTAAGAGTGCCCCAAGAGGCCTCACGGGAACCCCAAGAGAGCCCCTAAGATGACCCGAATCGACCGCTCACAACATCATATCTCCAAAGCCCGACTTCATCCTCCTTGTCATCGTCCGTTCCTTCCCTCCTTTCCTGCCTCCTCACTTCTCCTCCACATCCTCCTCTTCCTCCTCCTACGTCTCCTCCTCCTCCTCCTCCTCCTCATCCTCACCACCACCACCACCACCACCACCATCATCATCATCATCATCATCATCATCAGCATCATCATCATCATCAGCAGCATCAGCATCATCATCATCAGCAGCAGCGGCACCATAACCACCACCACCATCATCATCAACATGATCGTCATCATCATCAGCATAATCAATAACAACATCTGCATCATCAGATCATCGTTATCATCAGCATCCGCATCATCATCATCATCATGAGCATCACCATCAACACCATCATCATCGTCAGCATCATCGTCCTCATCATCATCACCATCATCATAATCGTGCCGCATTCCTCCTCCTCCACGTCTTCCCCCTCCTCCTCCTCCTTCTCTCATGTTCCTCCTCCTCGTCCTCTTCTTCCTTCTACCCCATGATGGTCCCAGGAGGTCGAACACGGCTCAAGATAGCCTGCGACAGACCTCCAAGAGGCCTCAAGACAGCCTCAAGATGGCCCAAGGTACATGGCTCAAGATAGCCTCCGACAGTCTCTAGCCGAGCATGGCTCAAGATAGCCTCCAAGAGGCCTCAAGAAAGCCTCCCTTAGAAGCTGGAGGAAACCTCTGGGGGAGCGGCTGCTTGACTGGGCAATCTTGGGCACCCCGTCCCGTGGTAGCCGGCATTGCGCGTCGACTCCAAACACTGTATTACTAGCAATGTACGTGGTGTTATCTACGAATGGCAATACATGTAGTGCAGTCTACGTGGAGCAATATATGCGGTGCCATATATGTGGTGCTATATAAGCGGACCACTCTATGTTGTGCAACCTACGATGTGCTATGTATGACGTGCAACATATGTGGTGCAGGTATATAGATACACACATGCATACAAACATACATACCTACCTACCTACCTACCTACCTACCGACCTACCTACATACATACATACATACATACATACATGCATACGTACGTACGTACGTACTTACATACATGTATGTATACATACATACATGCGTAACTACATGGATATATAAATGCATAGATACATAAATCCATACATACATGCATGCGTGCATGCATACATACATATGTAATACAATATACGTAATGCCATCGATGTGGAGCCATATATGTGGCGCAAAATATGTGCTGCAATATATGTGGTGCAACATATGCGGTACAATATATAGTGTACAGCTTGCGTTGTGCAACATGTGTGGTGCAGAATTTGTACTACAACATATGTGGTGCAATGTATGTGGTGCCATCTATGTGGTGCCGCCAACGTTGTGCAATCGATGTGGTGCAACCTATGTTTTGCAATATGTGATAGGCGATATAGGTTGTGCAATCAATGTGGTGCAATCTATGTTGTGAAATGTGATGCTGTGAAATCGCCGTGGTGCAATGTGGTGCAATGTATGTGGAGCCATCTCTGTGATCCAATGAATGTAGTGCGATCTGTGTATATATATATATGTATCATGTGGTACCATCTATGTTGAGCAACCTATGATGTGCGATATGTTGTGCAGCCCACGTGTTGCAATACATGTTGTGCAAAATAGATTGTGCAATATATGCGGCGCAACCTATATTGTGCAATATAGAATGTTCAATACATGCTATGCAATCTATGGGGTGCCATATCAGTTCATGTTGTGCGATATATGTGGTGCCATCTATGTTGTGCAATCTATCTGGCGCAACCTATGCGGCAGCGGAAAGGCGGCGACGAGGCGACAACGGCAGCAACATGGCCGCCAGACAGCCACACCAGCCCAGACAACGGGCGACGACGAGGCGGCGACGGTGCGGCGACGGAGGCAATCTAGCCGCCACACCGCCACAACGGCCCAGAGGACGGGCGGGACGAGGCGGCAACGGGGCGGCGACAGCGGCAACAGCCAGACCGCCACACCGGCCCAGACGACGGGCGACGACGACGCGGCGAAGGGGCGACGACGGCGGCAACATAGCCGCCAGACCGCCACACCAGCTCAGTTCCATGGAAAAAGTATAACAAACCCTAAGTGCAGCAAGAACGACACGGCTGCCGGACTGGGCTCCTGCTTTGCCACTATTCAAACCCCCTGGCGCAGCGCTACGAGGGAATGAATGTAGCCAGCATTGAAACGAAAGGAGTGAGAGCACAGCCATGTGCACCGCAGTATGTTTTCAACAAGGGATCGCGGCCGTCCCGCAATAAAATGCAGGCGGCATTGAAGCGAAAGCATGATTTGTGGATAAAACGAGAGGAAGTCTCGAGTGAAACGGCTGCCCGCGCTGGGCGGGCATGGGCACTCCAATATGTGCTCCGTCTACATCGGGCTCTCGCTTTCGGCTTTGCGGCGCCTTTTGCGGCGACGAATGGTATTGCCCTGTGTGCACTTAGCGCGCCCCCTGCCCACACCCGCCGGGGTGGAGCATCGCTCGTGGGCATGGCGCGGTGGTTCCCTGGCCACTTGCAGATTTGGCGTTCGCGCTGTCAATGCTCTGCTCTCCGAAGGCTTTGAAGCGTCGTCCGCACCTTGCTTCTGCATGTCCGTAATCCGTACCTGCCTGCACGCCCTCCTGTGCTCAGCTGCGTCGTTGCTCTTATGGACACTGCGCAGGCCTGAGGGGAACCTTGAGAGGTCCCTTCCAATGTGTGCTCTTACACCGGGCACCCGCTTTCGGCCTTGCGGCGACGAGTGGTACTGTCCTGTGTGCACTGATCGCGTCCCCTGCCCACACCCGCCGGGGTGGAGCAACACTTGTGGGCATTGCGCGGGGTCTCCCCGGCCACTTGCAAATTTGGCGCTCGCGCTGTGAATGCTCTGCTCTCCTAGGACTTTGAAGCGTCGTCCGCACCTTGCTTCTGCATGTCCGTAATCATTAGTTGCCTGCACGCCCTCCTCTGCTTAGCTGCGTTCTTGCTCTTATGGACACTGCGCAGGCCTGAGGGGAACCTTGAGAGGTCCCTTCCAATGTGTGCTCCGGCTACATCGGGCTCTCGCTTTCGGCCTTGCGGCGCCTTTTGCGGCGACGAGTGGTATTGCCCTGTGTGCACTTAGCGCGTCCCCTGCCCACACCCGCCGCGGTGGAGCAACACTCGTGGGCATGGCGCGGGGGCTCCCCGGCCACTTGCAGATTTGGTGCTCGCGCTGTCAATGTTCTGCTCTGCTCTCCTCTCCTAGGGCTTTGAAACGTCATCCGCACCTGGCTTCTGCATGTCCGTAATCCGTACCTGCCTGCACGCCCTCCTGTGCTCAGCTGCGTTCTTGCTCTTATGGACACTGCGCAGGCCTGAGGGGAACCTTGGGAGGTCCCTTCCAATGTGTGCTCCGGCTACATCGGGCTCTCGCTTTCGGCCTTGCGGCGCCTTTTGCGGCGACGAGTGGTATTGCCCTGTGTGCACCTATCGCGTCCCCTGCCCACACCCGCCAGGGTGGAGCAACACTCGTGGGCATTGCGCGGGTGCTCCCTGGCCGCTTGCAGATTTGGTGCTCGCGCTGCTAATGCACTGGTCTCGTCTCCTAGGGCTTTGCTGCGTTGCTCTCCTAGGGCTTTGAAGCGTCGTCCGCACCTTGCTTCTGCATGTCCGAGCTCCGTAGCTGCCTGCACGCCTCCTGTGCTCAGTTGCGTTCTTGCTCGTATGGACACTGCGCAGGCCTGAGGAAAATGTGAGAGGTCCCTTCCGATCGGTGCGACTCTTCAGTGGTCCTTTTGAAGACATAGCTGTCAGAACGCTCTAGCAAAACGGCATTGGGGAATCACGACGTCGGAGGTCTGGGCGAGGGAGCGAAGGAGCGGAGGCGGGGGGGGCCCGGCTCCACGTGGCCCCCCAAGACCCGGCTTGGCCAGAGGGGCACCAGGTGGGATCGGCTGGCCCCCATGAGGGCTCACCCCCTCTCAGCCGCGCCCCGACTCTGGGCGACTCTCGGCAGCCTCAGGCGGACGCCTGCACAAAGGCGCGATGGCTGCGCCGGGCCACCTGGCCGCGATCGAACACGGGACCCTGGCCAACTAGATGGCTTGGAAGAAACAGCGTGCTTGATCGTGCCGCTGCGTGTTGATGGATGTCGCTGGCGTCGCTGGATGTCGACAGATGTTCTGCGTGTCGCTGAAATGTCACTAGATGTCGCTAGACGCGTTCGGATCACCATCATCACCGTCATCACCACCACCATCAGCATCACTACACAGCCATGAGCATCACCACCACCATCACCATCGCCACCACCATCATAGTCATTATGCTCATCATCCTCATCCTCATATCCTCATCCTCATCCTCAGCATCATCATCAGCAGCATCAGCATCATCATCCTCATCATCATCATCATCATCATCATCATCATCATCATCATCATCATCATCATCACCATCACCATCACCATCATCAGCATCATCAGCATCAGCATCAGCATCAGCATCAGCATCAGCATCAGCATCAGCATCATCATCATCATCACCATCACCATCATCATCATCATCATCATCATCATCATCATCATCATCATCATCATCATCATCATCATCATCATCATCATCATCATCATCATCATCATGGTCGTCGTCGTCGTCGTCGTCGATCGGGCAAAGGCTCGACGCCGAGCCTCATGTCGTGACCGGGGCCGACCGCGTGCTTGTTCCTCCTGAGCCGGGTCGACTTCTGGAAGCCGTCGGCGGCCTGGGCGCCGGCGAGCAGGCAAACGCGAGCACACGCTGGCCGCCGCCGCCGTGGCGGTACCAACGGCACGCACTGAGAAAAATACGCTCACGCGCTCACGTTTGCGTCGGCAGCCGCTCGCTTCCGCGCCGCGGCAAGAAGATCGCGCCTGAGCCGATCGCCCGCGGACGAGGCGGGCAGCGGTGGCGCGGGGGGCTGCGAGGTGGCGAGAATGACGGGCAAGCGAGAGAGCCGAGGTGCAGGTGGCCGTGCGCACCAGCATCCCAAGCAGTGCGCAGGTGACAACAAAGGCGATGCTGGCTCCAGCTGACTGAAAGAGCGCGCGGCTGACAGCACGAGTGGAACGAGAATTGCACCGCAGCAAGAAGAATGTGCCATGACAATTCACACAAGCTTACGTTAAGAAAGCCACACACACACACACTTTTACTTCCCTGGCGATGTGCAGCACGGTCGCGTCGAATGCGGCGGGACACGCAACATTAAGTGTATCCGCACATGTGGCGAAGCACTCGACCCCAGCTGTGAGTCCTCGGTGAGGGACAAGCTAAACGAGCAACAAGAGAAGAGCGACAAGGAAAAACGAGGCATGCATCAGCGGATCTTCGAAAGCACTTCACGGAAATTTTGGTCGTCCCCATGGCGCCCACTGGCGCGCCCGATCACGCTCAAAACGGACAGAATGCACTTCCCTCCCATGGCGCTACTGGGCGCTGTTGGTCGTCGTTGGGAGCTGTTTGAACGCTATTTGGCGCTATTGGCTGCTATTTGACGCTGTCTGGCTCTAATGAACGCTACTAGGCGCAATTCGCTGGTGCACGTTCAACCTAAGACGAGCGAAGCTTACGTGATTTACTATCTGAGGGACCATGCGATCCGAGACGCCCGAAGGGAGG